CCGCTCAGCAGGCTCGCCCTGTGCTGCTGTCCTCTGCAACCTGTCGTTAGCTCCCGTTTGTGTTAATGGTCCTTAGCCTTTCCTTGACTTAGCCACCCTAAAACTTTTTGGCATTGCAGGCTGTCGTTTTGTAGAATGTTCCTTCAGTTTGGGGTTACCTCCTGTTTCTTCATGATTAAATTCGGGTTATGTAACTTTGGCAGGAAAATCGCAGGAGTGACACTAAATTCTCTCATTGCGCCCTGTCGGTTGACACACAGCTTCACTTTGAGCTGATGGTGTTTACTCTGATCACTTGATTGACGCTTGTCTGCCAAACTTCGCTGTAAAGTCACTTGTCTTCCTTTGTAATTGGGAAGTGTTTTGGGTGTACTTTGAAACTGTATAAATACACCGTTTCTCATCAGAATTTTTAGAGGTATTAATTTATTAATACCAGCATGGACTCCTGGTTTCCATGTCATGGGCTATAATCTGTGCCTGTCAGTGTTTACTTGGGCTTAACATTCTTTCGGTGCTACTTTACTTTCTGGCTCAAAACGTTCCAGGCTCACCTTGGACTTCCCTGATGCGAGGTCTGGCACTAGGCGGGAGTGTTGCTGCCTGCGTCCCGAGCCAGGACAGCGTGGATGTTCTCACCCATGGATAAATGTCTGTGTTTCTCTGTGTCCCCGTGCTGAGCCCCGTGACCTCACACTGACCTCCAGTTCTCCCCCAGCGCTGGAGGGTGTGGAATGTTCTCCCCCAGTCCCAACGCCCTTGTCTGGCAGTGAGAACTGAGCCCGTCATCCTGAGTCTCTTTACTTATTTGATCCGTCCCCCTGGGTGTAACGAATCTCGTCCCCACACGCCTGTTCTGTGCACCCCAGCATCACCCCCTTTGGGCTCTGCCTGAAGGAGGTGCTGGAGGGACTTTGGAGGGTACTGGAGAGGGAGCGGGGGCTTGGGTCTTCCTGTCTGCCTCCTCTTCTGGCAGTGAGGTGCCTTCTAGGAGCAGCAGCTGGTCCCAGTTGGGCATTTTCATTTTCCCATACTCTCGGGGACCCCAGCATTAACTGGCCAGTGCACCCTCTTAGCTCCTTGGGCTCTGCCTTTGAGCTTAGAGACCCCAGTACTTGGAGTCTCAGCTGCACAGATCCCTTTGCCCAGGTTTCAGAAATTCGAGCTTTGCCTTTGATTCCCCTGGTCCTGAGGGCCGCGGAGGCCCTCCTGCGCCTGCTGTCTGCGTGATAATTTAGTGTTCCCTTGTTGCTTTTGTGATTGCCTGGGTATCAGCTCTTTATGTAGCATTTTCTTCATGATTAACTGGTGTGGTTTCTGTCTCCTGACTGCTCAGTCCCAGTGGGGGTGGGGGGGCACCTGTTTTTGGGTTGACAGTGGCTGAAACCCCATCTGACATGTCACTCAACTTTCATCTGTTTGAAAGTCCTGTCTCTCTCAGTGGCCTCTCAATCCCTGGCCTGGGTGCTTAGTAGGGTGGTCTGCCATTGTATTTTATTTTCTGTTCTGGTTTTAGCTAACGCAGTCTTAATAATTTTTAAACACCAGTACCGTATTTTTACTATGTCCTCAGAACTGTTTTAAAAACATTTAGCACTAAAAAAACAATGTTTGCCCTTAGACTTTTCCTTCTGGGTCCTTTTTAGTGCCCTCTTGTTAAAAAATCAGCTTTCATTCACATAGTTGATTTCCTTGATTGTCTTCATTTCTTTATCCTTTCAAGTGTTCACCTAAAATTTGTCCCCATAGTTCTCCCTCTGTTCATCAGACTGGCCCTGGTAAGTCTGTGCCTGCTCATTTCAGGAAATTTGTACAGACTTATATAAAATATATAAGCAACAAATTAAGTTCTAGCAAAGGAGAGGAAACCTTAATGAGGAAGATCAAAGGAGAAAATTGATGTGGAGCAAAAAGAGATGGAGAGGGCATGTCTCGCTCTCCTCTGCCTTAGTCCTCACCAGGAGCGGGTCCCCGCGTGGTCAGGGAGGCCCGCCTGCCCGTTTCATGGATGGGGAGCTTCGTCACAGAGGATCGGATGACTTTCTAAGATGGCACAGCCACTAAGTGGTGCACTTAGGGCTTGACTCTCCTGAATGGAAGCTAGGACCCCACCTCCTCAGCCCCCAGGCCCCACAGCCAGTGTGTCCTTTTAGCAACAGGAGTAGGTGACGTATCATCAGACCACTTAAAGCCATGCAGATGTTACAACTAAAAATAAGGTAAACACATCATGATGCGCTAGGATACTCCAAACAACAGTTGAGTATTGGGTTAATACAGGATTGAGTATCAGATCTTTAAAGGGTCCGTAACTTTCTAAGCCTTGATAAAATGACAGAGGAAAATTAATTAATTAAGTTTTATTAAAGTGATTTTTACAAAATAAAAATAGCGCAATTAATTTGAAAAGAGGAAACAGGACAGAGAATGGTGTTTACAGCTGTTATGTCTGAGAAGGCCAAAATAGAGCACTTTATACAGTTGCTTAAATTATCAAGACGTGACCAATGAGCATATGTCAGGAATGGATACTGACCACAGTAGGGTGCGCACCCGGACAGGTCGGGGTGGAAGCCAGCCTCACGGAGCATCAGGGCAGGCGGGATCTCGGTGTGTGGCCCTACGGGGTGGGTGAAACCAGCGCCTCGCGTGGTGTGACCTAGGAGCTGCGGCTTGGGGAGCATATCAGGAGCCATAAAAAATGTTAGTGCCTTTTGGAGAGTTCTGGGATTTCATCCTAAAAATTATTTTAAAATAGTGAAAAAGCTTGTGTGCATCAAATGTTCAGTGCAATTTTATTCACTAGAGGAAAATAATAATTTAAAAAATTGTATCTTCAACCTGTGTGTTCAGTAGACACACAATTTTAAATTGTTGTGTCAACTTAGTGAAATATTACATATCTGTTAAAATGATACTTGAGTAGTGCAGAAGGATGAATATATATGTATATATTAGAAATAAAGTAAAAGTACAAAAACATGTAAACATTGTGTCTCTGATCAAGAATGGAATGGTAACATGGTGAGGTGAGTGGTTTGTGGCACAATTACAGCTGGAATTTTCTGTGATTTCCATAAATGTTGCTGTTCAGTTTGCACGTTTGAAACAGTGGCTAGCAAGTTTTGTGAGCCTCGGGGTTCCTGAGGAGTCCATGGGTTGTGTTGTCCCGCTGCCAGAGAGAGCGTCTGTTCCTGCAGCCTGCACTTGAGTGGTGTATGGCCTAGCTTGTTTATACCTGACTGGCACTATTTCCTTTCCCAAACTCACTCTTCTGCTGGTAAAACAGGACAAATCAAATTTGTTGGGATTGTTTTTCTTCACAGTAAACTGAAAGGTACCGTGTGGCTCTCCCATAAGGTACCAGGGGAGGTTTTGGTCTTTGGTGGCTATTTAAAATACATATTGCCATTAGGAATTTTGGGAATGGTTGTTTTTGATGATGTTTGAAAGAAAGAAAGGTGAACCACAGATGCCCTTTTAAGTTCTAGCTCAAGGATTTTTAGTCTGAACTTTTTTTTTTTTTTTTTTTTACTTAAATAATCCAGGCTCCGTGTTCTGTTCCTTAATCTGTGCCGGCAGACCTTTGGTGACGGTGGGGGTAGCATACTGGCTGTAGTTACCGTGACCAGTGACCCTGGTGAGCAAATCTTAGTGGTGCTAACTACTTACGGAGCTCAGCTAGAAGCCCAGAAGATGTCAGATCGCAGGTTTTGTTTTGTTTTGTTTGTGTTTGGAGGTCATTGTAAATGCAGGTGTAGTGGTAAGAAGTGACACAGCAAGAGCCCTTGTGCACTTGGCCGCGCTTCCCCCGAGAATGCCTTGGAGACTGTGATAGGAGGACATGACAGAACTGTACAGAACAAATGAAAGCATAAAACCTGAATTTAAGCCTGAAGGTGGAAATGACAGGTGTGGAGGTGCAATTAAATGGATGTTAGACCAGGGGCAGAATGCTCAGAGGTGAAGAAGGCCGCTCTCCGCTCTCTCTTCTTGGGAAGAACTTGCTGGAAGTGCTGGTTTCCTGGGCTGCTGCGACAAGTCACCACAGACTGTGTGGCTTAAAGCAACAGAGTTCTCTCTCACAGCCCTGGAGGCCAGACGTCCAAAGTTGGGGTGTCCGCAGGGCTGTGCTCCCTCTGGAGGCTTTGGGGGGTAGTCCCTCCGTCTCCTTTCCAGCATCCGGTAGTGGCGCAGCCCTTGGCGTCCTTGGCTGAAACCATTCCAGCCTGCGCCTCCATCTTCACAGTGGCTTTTCCCTCTGTGTCCAGATTCCCCCTTTTTATATGGCCACCATTGAGTTGGATTTAGGGCCCATCCCATTCCCGTGTGCTGCCTCATCTTAACTTGATTACATCCGCAAAGACCCCACTCCACATAAGGTCAGTTACAGGTTCTGGGTGGGCACGTTCAACCCAGAGCACCCCACTATCCCACAGAAAGCTGGCTCAGTTTTCTCCTCCCTAAAGCGTGAGTAAAAATAGAATTAACCTTCAAGAGGGGATGTGTGGAGGGTCATGGTGAGGACCGTGTGGCTGCACAGGTGCACCTCTGCGCTTTAGTGACCGCTGTCCAGGGAGTGCCTTGGGCTCAGTGGCTGCCTGGTGGCGCTGGGCCTGGCTGGCTGGGGAGCACAGGGCTCGGAGCCCAGCGGCCCAGCCCGTGTTCTTCACTCCAGTTACAGCGGCGGTGGCCTCCGGGCCCACTCCTCGCTAGTTGCTCATTTTTGGGTCTAGTTTCAGTGATTTCGCCAAAGGGTCGTCGTTGTAGGGTATTTGGTGTGACAGATCTGGAAGTAGGTGCTTGTGATAAGCATCTACATCAAGGTAGCATAGATACTGATATTCCAAAACTTGCCAGATATTAAACATTTTAAAAAGTACAGATTTGAAAATTAAATTAAAAAAATTTTTAAATGTATAACCTAGTGGAAAGACCCCACATTTATATATAGTATCAGATTAGAGTGAATTGTTAATTTTGTTTTTCTAAATTTACAGCTAAACCATTTACACAGCTGGTGAGAGAAATGCAGCTTCGTCGGGAAGACTTCGAAATAATTAAAGTGATCGGAAGAGGGGCTTTTGGTGAGGTAAGACGAACTTTGTTTGCTAATAACAGCAGCAGCTCCCCATGGTCACTGCCCTCCCCATACAGTGATTTTGGGATGAGGTAGATGTTGCTATCATTTGGAGAAGTCTTGGTCGGCAGAATCTGCAAGATAGAATTAAGAAAATAAGAACAAAACTTAGAACTGGTGAATCACCCTGAATATTGTCCAGACCAAAATAGTTTCTTATAGACAATTAAGTTTTTAAAAAAAAATCCTTTTGTTAATTGAAGAATGTCTCAGCAGTCATTTCTAAGCAGTGCAGGGAAGAGGGTAAAGCAACGTGGTTCCCATTATCGGGGGTGGAGGGGTCCTGCCAGTGCTCGCACCGTGCTGTCCCGTGCTGGCTGAGGGCACGAGTGAATCGCACACGTGTCCCTCCCCGAGGGCCTCGGTATGCAGCCCGGTGGCTCTGCCCCGCCAGGGCCGAGGCTCAGCTTCCTTGGCGGTGGGACTTGGGGGTTTACAGTCAGCCACCCTAGGAGCTGTGCCTCCTGAACATTGCAAGATACTAACTCCTGTCTGCTGTCCTTGCCTCCAGTCTCCCGGACTGGGGAACTGGGCATTTTGATGACTGAGGACAGACCCACCGTGTGCCACCTCACAGCAGCAGGCATGCCTGCTGACGGCTGTCTGCCTGGACGTGACTGTGAGGCACTGCCAGGCGGGTGCCGGCATCTGCTGGGCCAGTTCCTTCCATATTGGGCCAATGTGGAGAAAGCAAAGCAGGTGTTTCCTGAGAGCTTCTTTGCCCTCTGGGATCTCATGTGACTCCTGAGTTGAAACAAGACTGTAAACTGTTTTAAGAACATGTCAGGGTTTTGATGATTCTCGTGCTATGAGTACCTGATAAACACCCCAGCTTTATCTGCAGGGCAACACAAAAAGAAAATACTTCTACAGAATTTTTTTGAACCCTTGAGTGAGAAAGCTCTGGCCTGCCCAAGCAAGCCAGGTAGTCGTGTGTCATGTGCTGATTTCTTCCTTAGAAACTGCCCTGGCCTCAGACCAGGCCCAGCCCCAAGTCCTGTGACAGCCCCATCCTCATCTTCACCCCTTGCTCTGCCCCGGCCCCAGCTCTGTCTCCATGACCCCCTTCCCCGGCCCACCCCTGAGAGTGAGTCTTAGGGGTGAGTGGAGGGGGCGCAGCAGCACTGGGGGCTGTGCAGCAAAGCCTGTCCTCTGGACTGGCGGCTCCTACCCAGCCCATCCAAGCCGACCCAGGCTCCAGGTTTGCCTCCGAATGAACCTCTCTGCCAAACTAAGCTTTCTGTGGGCTGGGTTGGGGAGGGAGGTTTGTTTTCTGTTTTTATTTTTCAGTATTGAGGAATAAGTGCATAGAAGATGCACAGATCTAAGTGCACAGTTCGGTGACAGATGTCCACACCTGTGTAAGGGGCACCCCGAGCAGTGTAGAGCATTTCTGCCCCTTAGAAAGCTCCCCCTGTGGCTCTCCAGGCCCCACCCATGAGCCTCACCTGTCTCCTGGCAGAGGCTCTCCACATGCCACCAACACAGAACATGGTTTACAGGAGCCACAGGAAGAAATGGATTTCTGCATGGAAATAACACATCTCTGGCTGTAGGTAGGTTGTGGTGATGTAAGGCTGATTTCTGTTTAGTGAGAAGAATGAGAAAGCTATTTAAAATTAACACCCAATTCAATTCATTATACACCTTTCCTATCTTCCTGTACCAGGAGCTGTGCCAGGCTCTGAGGCGTAGAGGTTAGCAAGGCCAGGCCCCATAGAGCTCTCGGTGACAGCCACACCCATTAGAGGGGGTCAGAGGACAGGAGGAGACTCCAGGGCATAAGAGGGGTGACCTTTAGGAGGAAAAACGAGAGAATACTGTTGTGACAAAATTGTTACGGTTATTTTAGTGTTCTTTGCCCTGGAACCTAATCCTCAGAGAAGGTGTACCGACCACCTTCTAGGTTCCTCCCAAATTAAGAGAAACACATCGTTGCCCAGGCCTTTGCAGAAGGCTGTGGGTTGTCTCCTTTGCCTTTGGTCTCTCTCCAGGTTCTAGCAGCCTCCTTCCCTAGGCCTGTGCTCTGGGCTCCATGTGCCAGCCCTCCTTGCCCTGCCACTCTACCCCCATCCAGTCTGTGCCCCCTCTGGGTTCCTTGTGCATGCTTGCCCATCCTCCCCACCAAAACAAAATTTTAAATTCTGTATCTAGTATTCACCACCACCACCATTGCCTCCCTGGGTGGGATATTCTTACAATCACATACCTGAAATGTGCCCGGTTTCGGTTTCTCTGTCAATGAGAACACCAAGCAGATCACAGAAACGAGGACACTCCTCATGAATACCGGGACCGGAAGTGTTGTTCAGTACTGTTCTAACTGAATCGGGAACCCAGGGTGGGGCAAGAGTCTGCATCTGCAGCGGAGCCCAGGGACGCGTGCCTGCCCCTCCATGACGGGGGTGTGTTCTCAGAGGCCCAACCCCGACAGGATTTATTTGTGGAGCCCAAAATGCACTGAGCAATAAGGCTATATCCTGTGTCATGAGCATGTGACACTTACCTCAAAATTGAAATCTACCCCCCGACACACACTTGTGCTTACGTACACACATACATATACACACACACACACACACAGGCAGAGTTTGGAGAAACATTTCCAGATGCTGATATAAACAAGGTTTAGAATATTGGGGTACCACCCTTTCCCTTGAGCACAGTGGCTTTGAACACACCTTCTTCCTCCCGGTATGTTGGTGATAGCTGGTCCTGGCACCCTCGGGGGGGTGGTTGCCCAGCTAATCTGGTGCATTGCCCCGTGGGTGTGTGTGCAGCAGACAGGCAAGTAGCGGCTGACTGACGAGTCTTACGTGCTTTCACAAACTTGAGCCAGCTGTGCCCTTCCAGCTACTGCCTGCACGCTGCTCCCCTGGAGAGAGGTGGAGACCCACAGTGGTGGACCCTGCTGAAGCTAGTCTTGAGTCACCTGCCTGGCCCTAAGCCTGAGTGCCCAACCACTCTGCCCTCCTGCCCGCATTCATGCCTAGAGTGACTTTAAAAAAGAAACAGTGTTGAAAGCTCTGTTTAGAAACCCTTTCCCATTAACAGAACAATTGCATGAATAGAATGGTCCAAAGACCATCAGTCTGACACTTATACTAAATTCCCTTTTGTTTGTTAACATTTTACCTCATGGGCTTTATGAGATTCACTGTGTTCCTCTCCCCCATGGTGTGTGTGTGTATGTGTGTGATTTTTTTCTGAACCAATGAGAATAAGCTGCCTGTGTCAAGCAAAGCCCTTTACGCCTAATACTGCAGAGACAGTTTTCTAATAGGGATAGCTTTTTACATGATCATAGTTCATAAATTTAAATTTTAAATTGATGGAATATGTTTTATCTAATCTCTTGTCTTTACCAGCTTTGTCAGTTGACAGTGATGTTCTTCGTGGCTTCGGTTTTTCCCTGACGCCAGGTCTGGGCTGCATCAGCTTTACACTTGGTTGTCATGTCCTAGAATCACTGTTCAATGTTCCATAAAATTATTTTGGTTTGTATTTCTTTACTGAAATGACTGAATGTGTAGATATTTATAGGCTCACCATCTCCCTTGGAAGTAATTGAGACTGAGTTTTTGGCCAGGAAGAAGTGATGGTAAACCAGAAAGATTTTTATAGCTTGTTTATTTTGTAAGTTGTGCAATGGAGAAAGTTTGTTCAAATATATACAGGGGTGTTTTACATTAAGTTTTACTTCTTTATTTCACTTCTATGTATTCTTGGTTTGACAGGTGTTTTTCTGTGGATAGATACATTCTTTTTCCTTCTGTGTATTTTATCAGAATCATTTTGCATGTTTTCTAGAAGTGGTCTTGGCCCTAATAGGCCTTCACTAACGGATTATGGTTCCCAGCAAGAGGTCAGAGTGTTCGTCTCATTTTCAGCAAGATCTGAAGATTTGTCATCAGCAGAATTTCATTGTTTTCCTCGGAAGTTACTAACTCTTCGATTCCTTCCAAGTTAGACCATTTCTACAGTAAAATACTATGTAGTTTTTTCGTGTTTCACCCATCCCCTCCCACCCTTCTTCCCTCTGGCAACTCAGATTGTTCTCTGTGTCTGTGAGTCTGTTTCTGCTCTGTTTTGCTCATTTGTTTTTTTTTAGGTCCCACATAACGAGAAAGATCGTATGGTGCTGTCTTCCTCACCTGACTCACTCCACTGAGCAAAGTGCTCTCTAGGTCTATCCATGTGGTCACAAATGATAAGATTTCATTTTTTTTTATGGCCAGGTTATATTCCATTGTGTATATATACCGCATCTTCTTTATCCATTCATCTGTCAGTGGACACTTAGGTTCCTTCCATATCTTGACTATTGTAAAGAATGCTGTAGTAAAAAGATTGGTACATGTATCTTCTCAAATTAGTGCCATACAATGGTGCAAACATTGTGTCTGATATTGGTAGCAATGGAAGAGCTCATTCAAGATTTGGTGGGGACTGGGAAGTCTGAGAGGCCTTCCTGGAAGAGGCAGTGTTTGCGTTGTACCTTGAAGAATATCGCTGACAGCCACCATACTGAGTGCTGTGTCCTCACAGCATTCTGAGCACGTTAAGTGTATTGACTCATTCGATCCTCACAGCAATCTTAGGCCATTACTGCTGTCACCCCTTTTCTAGTTGTGGAAACTGTGACATAAAGGAGTGAATTTGCCCAAGACACACTCCAGACCCACCTGGTCACTGACTGCCCTGTGAAGAAAAGACCCCAGAGGCAGGACCTGGCACAAAGGCTGGCAGCTAGAGTGAGGCAGACAGGAGTGGCAGCAGGGCCCTTGAATGCAGGGAGGGAAGCATGGGGGCCGTTGACAAATTTGTAAAGGTTTTATTATGAAAACCTCCAAGCATATACCTACTAGAGGATGGAGAGCCCCCAGGTGCCTGTTCTGCAGCATTGAAGATTTTCAAACTGAGCAAGTGAGATCATCGAGTTACAGTGTGGCTGAAGTCAAGTTTTGATGCTTAAAAGAGCAAAGCTTTACATTAAAAACTTTCCTTTCCTTAACAGCTCATTTCCCAGAGTTTCCAGGCAATTAAGATTTCACTGTAGTTATATGAAAGTGTGTCAGCCTTTTATTCCATTGACTAAACTTTCATTAAACTCTTTATTTGTTCCAGGTTGCTGTTGTTAAAATGAAGAACACTGAACGGATTTATGCAATGAAAATCCTCAACAAGTGGGAGATGCTTAAGAGAGCAGAGGTAGGCGTGCGGCCTTAAGCCGGCAGCAGGAAGCCGGGTCCCTCAGTGAGCGAGAACTGCTGGGTGGGACCTGGGCCTTGCTTCCTCACAGGAGTGAGCTGTTCTCACCCTCAGCCTCTCAGCCTTCTCCGGACATCGGCTTCTCTGTGCCTGGGTGTTGACGCATTTTCCAGGCTGACGAGGTCCCCTGAAGTGTACCGGCCAGGTGTGTGTCTGCTGTGGGGGCGTTTGGAAGTGTTCACAGCATCTGAGCAAAGTGCTCTCTAGGTCTATCCATGTGGTCACAAATGATAAGATTTCATTTTTTTTTATGGCCAGGTTATATTCCATTGTGTATATATACCGCATCTTCTTTATCCATTCATCTGTCAGTGGACACTTAGGTTCCTTCCATATCTTGACTATTGTAAAGAATGCTGTAGTAAAAAGATTGGTACATGTATCTTCTCAAATTAGTGCCATACAATGGTGCAAACATTGTGTCTGATATTGGTAGCAATGGAAGAGCTCATTCAAGATTTGGTGGGGACTGGGAAGTCTGAGAGGCCTTCCTGGAAGAGGCAGTGTTTGCGTTGTACCTTGAAGAATATCGCTGACAGCCACCATACTGAGTGCTGTGTCCTCACAGCATTCTGAGCACATTAAGTGTATTGACTCATTCGATCCTCACAGCAATCTTAGGCCATTACTGCTGTCACCCCTTTTCTAGTTGTGGAAACTGTGACATAAAGGAGTGAATTTGCCCAAGACACACTCCAGACCCACCTGGTCACTGACTGCCCTGTGAAGAAAAGACCCCAGAGGCAGGACCTGGCACAAAGGCTGGCAGCTAGAGTGAGGCAGACAGGAGTGGCAGCAGGGCCCTTGAATGCAGGGAGGGAAGCATGGGGGCCGTTGACAAATTTGTAAAGGTTTTATTATGAAAACCTCCAAGCATATACCTACTAGAGGATGGAGAGCCCCCAGGTGCCTGTTCTGCAGCATTGAAGATTTTCAAACTGAGCAAGTGAGATCATCGAGTTACAGTGTGGCTGAAGTCAAGTTTTGATGCTTAAAAGAGCAAAGCTTTACATTAAAAACTTTCCTTTCCTTAACAGCTCATTTCCCAGAGTTTCCAGGCAATTAAGATTTCACTGTAGTTATATGAAAGTGTGTCAGCCTTTTATTCCATTGACTAAACTTTCATTAAACTCTTTATTTGTTCCAGGTTGCTGTTGTTAAAATGAAGAACACTGAACGGATTTATGCAATGAAAATCCTCAACAAGTGGGAGATGCTTAAGAGAGCAGAGGTAGGCGTGCGGCCTTAAGCCGGCAGCAGGAAGCCGGGTCCCTCAGTGAGCGAGAACTGCTGGGTGGGACCTGGGCCTTGCTTCCTCACAGGAGTGAGCTGTTCTCACCCTCAGCCTCTCAGCCTTCTCCGGACATCGGCTTCTCTGTGCCTGGGTGTTGACGCATTTTCCAGGCTGACGAGGTCCCCTGAAGTGTACCGGCCAGGTGTGTGTCTGCTGTGGGGGCGTTTGGAAGTGTTCACAGCAAGTTTAGACATTTATCTCCCTTCTGCTCCATGTGCTGACAAGAGTTACTGGGCCTCCTTCAGTGCAGAATGTCTTTACACTCCCTCTTTGAGGGAGGGGGAAGATTGTAAATAAAAGCAGGTGAATCCTGCTCGGTATCTTTGATCGGTTTTTCCTTAGTTCTGTGTGCATCCCCTTAGCAGCTGTCTGAGGCCCCCAGCCACATCTTGCCAGCCCCACCCAGCCCCTGACTGAGTCAGGTGAGGCTTGTCAGAGCCCCAACTCACCCTCTGGCCCTCTTAGGCTTGCCTCCCTGCCCCACCCCCCACTGTGTTCCCGCATTTCTCCTGGGAGAGCTGAGCGTCCACCCTCGGCACGTGTCCCCCCCCTCCCCAGTCCAGGCAGCCCTCTGGAGGGGCTCTTTCCCCTCTGCTTCCCCTCAGGCCTTTGCTTGCTGGAATCCCCTCGGACCGGCCACCTCCTCCCTTTGGAAACTCCTTCTGTGGTTCCTAGCACCCTCATCCTGTCACTCTAAGTCCTCCTCGTAATTTCAGGCAATCCTTTCTTATCTGGGTCTGGAATTCTTAACTGCTGGTGGTATCTCCTGACACTATAAACCATTCACTGGCCCACTTTGCTCACCTGAGCTGCAGATTTGCGTTAAGTTGCTGGGTGGGCCTTCTCTCTCAGCAGCCCACTGGCATCTCAGGTTCATCAGGGCTCAGGTCCTCATGGTGCCTTTTTCCCATCCATACCCATTTCCTCCTCTGGTCAGGCACCCTTTATTGCTCAGTGAGTGTGTGTTGTTTGACTGAGTCATCACCATTTTTATAGTTACCTGGGCTCAAGATGTTGGTGGCCCATGACTGTCTCAGCCACCCACATGCCACAGCCTCCAGGTTGCGGCATGGGCCTCCTGGGCCTCTGGCTCTGGGAGTCCCTTCCTCCTGCCTCCATTTCCCCTCCAGGTACGTCAGCTGCCGGGCCAGCAGCCCTTTCTCCACATCACCGCCAGCACTTTGGCAGGGACTCACAGGGAGCGGCTCTTCCGTGAGGGAACATAGCTGCTATTACATGAATGTTTGGGGAGGAATAAGGTGCTTGGGAAGGAAATACAGTAGCAAATTCCACGCAAGTTTGTTTTTATAAGAGTGACTGGTTTATGAAGCAAGATTGCTGAGCCATGTCTACTCTGACTTGTTACACTAACGTCTGGAGTGCAGTCTGTGTGTGTGTGTTTAAATTTAAAAATTTTTAAACTCTAAGGTTAGGGGAGGCAATTCTCACCTTGTCATACTAGTATTTACCCAGTGTCACAGTGAGTGAGTGCATTTTTTTTTCTTTTTTACTAAATTGCTTTATTGAGGTACAGTTGACATATGAAGTACACATTTAAAGTATATATCTAGTGAGTCTTGACATATGTATTTATCTGTGAAACCACCACCACAATCAAGATAATGAACACATTCGTCATCCTCCCCCCAAATTTTACTTGTACCCTTTGTCATCTCTCCTTCCCCACTTTTCTCTTCATCCCCAGTCAACCACTGATTTGCCTACTATAATATAGGTTATTTGGCTTTTTCTAGAGTTTTATGTAAAAATATGTATTCTTTTTTTAGACCTTTATCACTCACGTGATTTGCAAATATTTTCTATGAGTCTGCAGCTTTTCATTTTATTTTATTTTTTCCAGTGTTTTTTATTTTTTTTTATTTCTTTTTTCAATTTTGGTATCATTAATCTAATCTACAATTACATGAGGGACATTATGTTTACTAGACTGCCCCCTTCACCAAGTGCCCCCCACATACCCAATTAGTCACTGTCCATCAGCGTAGTGAGATGCTGTAAAATCACTACTTGTCTTCTCTGTGTTGCACAGCCCTCCCCGTGCACACCCCCACATTATACATGCTAATCATAAGGGTCCCTTTCTTTTTCACCCCCCTTCTCCTTCCCTTCTCACCCATCCTCCCTAGTCCCTTTCCCTTTGGTAGCTGTTAGTCCTTTCTTGGGTTCTGTGATTCTGCTGCTGTTTTGTTCCTTCAGTTTTTCCTTTGTTCTTATATTCCACATATGAGTGAAATCATTTGGTACTTGTCTTTCTCCGCCTGGCTTAATTCACTGAGCATAATACCCTCTAGCTCCATCCATGTTGTTGCAAATGGCAGGATTTGTTTTCTTCTTATGCCTGAATAATATTCCATTGTGTATATGTACCACATCTTCTTTATCCATTCATCTACTGACGGACGCTTTGGTTGCTTCCATTTCTTGGCTATTGTAAATAGTGCTGCGATAAACATAGGGGTGCATCTGTCTTTTTCAAACTGGGCTGCTGCATTCTTAGGGTAAATTTCTAGAAGTTGGATTCCTGGGTCAAACGGTATTTCAATTTTGAGCTTTTTGAAGAACCTCCATACTGCTTTCCACAATGGGTGAACTAATTTACATTCCCGCCAGCAGTGTAGGAGGGTTCCCCTTTCTCCACATCCTCGCCAACATTTGTTGTTGTTTGTCTTTTGGATGGTGGTGATCCTTACTGGTGTGAGGTGATATCTCATTGTGGTTTTAATTTGCATTTCTCTGATGACTAGCGACATGGAGCATCTTTCCATGTGTCTGTTGGCCATCTGAATTCCTTCTTCAGAGAAGTGTCTGTTCAGCTCCTCTGCCCATTTTTTAATTGGATTATTTGCTTTTTGTTTGTTGAGGTGCGTGAACTCTTTATATATTTTTTATGTCAACCCTTTATCAGATCTGTCATTTGTGAATCTATTCTCCCATACTGTAGGATGCCTTTTTGTTCTATTGATGGTGTCCTTTACTGTACAGAAGCTTTTCAGCTTGATATAGTCCCACTTGTTCATTTTTGCTTCTGTTTCCCTTGTCTGGGGAGATATGTTCATGAAGAAGTCACTCATGTTTATGTCCAAGAGATTTTTGCCTATGTTTTTTTCTAGGAGTTTTATGGTTTCATGACTTACATTCAGATCTTTCATCCATTTCGAATTTACTTTTGTGTATGGGGTTAGACAGTGATCCAGTTTCATTCTCTTACATGTAGCTCTACAGTTTTATCAACACCAGCTGTTGAAGACGCTGTCATTTCCCCATTGTATATCCATGGCTCCTTTATCATATATTAATTGACCATATGTGTTTGGGTTAATATATGGACTCTCTATTCTGTTCCACTGGTCTCTGGGTCTGTTGTTGTGCCAGTACCAAATTTTCTTAATTACTGTGGCTTTGTAGTAGAGCCTGAAGTTGGGGAGCGAGATCCCTCCCACTTTATTCTTCCTTCTCAGGATTGCTTTGGCTATTCGGGATCTTTGGTGGTTCCATGTAAATTTTAGAACTATTTGTTCCAATTCATTGAAGAATGCTGTTGGTAATTTGATAGGGATTGCATTGAATCTGCAGATTGCTTTAGGTAGGATGGCCATTGTAACAATATTAATTCTTCCTAGCCAAG